ACTATCAACAACAGCTGATCACCCGACCTTAAGGCTCTGCCTGGGATGTAGCGATGGAGGAGTTTGGCTATATAGGCAGGAGCCAGCCCATTTAGGGCTTTGAAAACAAATAAAAGGAGTTTAAAATCTATTCTGAACCGAATTGGAAGCCAGTGCAGTAAGGCCAGAATTGGGGTGATGTGGTCACGCTTTTTATGGTCAGTGAGTAGACGTGCAGCTGCGTTCTGCACTAGCTGCAAGCGTCTAATTGACGCCTGGTCCATACCCACGTACAGAGCGTTGCAGTAATCCAGTCTCGAGGTAACAAAGGCGTTAATAACCCTTTCCAGGTCTTTAATAGATAAAAACGACTTGGTCTTGGCCAATAATCGTATTTTAAAAAAGCAGGTGTTGACTACATTGCTGACCTGCTTATCAAATTTAAAAGCGCTATTGAAGGTCACTCCAAGGTTCATGACAGAGGGGAGGATGTTTTTATTGAGGGAGCCCAGAATTTCAACCGGGGAGGCTGGAGGTTGGGGTCCAAAAAAGATGACCTCGGTCTTGCTCTCGTTGAGGGTGAGGAAGTTTTGGCTCAGCCAGGATTTAATCTCTGTTAAGCAGTCCATCAACTGCTGTAGTGAGTTGGCATTTTGAATTGAGAGGCAGATAGATCTGTACATCATCGGCATCACAATGGAAGGGGATGTTGTGTTTTGTGAGAATTGAACCTAGGGGCAGTATGTACAGTAGAAAAAGGATGGGGCCCAGAATCGAGCCTTGGGTAACCCCACAGGTAAGAGGGGCTTTAGCAGAGGAGAAGGTACCTAGTTGCACTGAGAAGCTACGGTTTGTCAGGTAGGACCTGAACCATGCAAGGGCAGAGCCTGTGATGCCTGCGGACTGTTCGAGCCGCGACAACAGGATGCTATGGTCCACAGTTTCAAAGGCAGCTGCAGGTCTAACAGCACCAGGACAGCTGGGCTGCCTGAGTCGGCGGCTAGGAGCAGATCATTAAAAACTCTTAAAAGGGCTGTTTCAGTACTGTGCATAGGTTTGAAGCCAGACATGAATGCCATGCGTGGTTAAGAAAGACTGCAGCTGGGCGTAGACTACTCGCTCAAGGACTTTAGATAAAAAAGGTAGCTGGGAGATGGGCCTAAAATTTACGAGAATACTTATGTAATTTTACTTAAGTAAGATTTTGAATGCAGGACTTTTACTTCTCTCTTTACTGCTCTTTGATAGTTTTACTTTTACTTAAATTCACAATCTGGGTATTCCTCCCACCTCTGCCCGTAAGTATGTGAGTAGGAGGAAACAGTGGCATATGCAGGCCAATGATTTATTGTATGTGGAAATAAATCAACAAATGATAACATATTCACGGGAAGGAATGGTGCAGAAGATGTGGGTACAAAGGCAGATCAGTTGTTACTCTTTTTCTTATACACACATAACCAGAGATTTGCAGCACATTTTTCTGTCCTAAGGATAGTTAAGGGGTCATGGAAACGACACCACTGTCATGACAGCATTCCTGCACATGACACCTCTGTATCTGTCTCCTGTCTCATATACCTGTCCACACCATCCGGCCCATTTTCATACTTTTGATTTATGACCAAGCTGCTGTCATCTCATGTGCAGCTCAACTTTATCACATTTAACTTATACAAATTACTTTTAGGAATTTGCAGACTCTATTCTCCTCCTTTTAGACTGAATTAAATAAGCAAACATTCATCAAATAAAAATAGAGATAGGAAATATCTTGACAGAGAGGTAAAACATGAATTTCTTCCATCAGAAGAAGTTCCTCTACTGTATTGTGTTTTTTCATTCTGGATTTTTAAATGTATTTGTTTATTTTCACTGGATATACAGTATGTCCTGGAGTCTTCCTCCATAATATTAAAATGGTGCCATTTCATCTTGTACCCAGGGAACAATAACACATGTATGTTTTCTAGTAAGTCTTTCAAAAACGAGTTTATTCATCTGAATTAAAGAAGAAAAAGTATTTATAGATAATCCATGCATAAAGGAGATAACAATTGAGTTTGTCATGAAATAAAATAAGCCCAAATATTGCACAGGAAGTATTGATTTAAATGGAAACGTGCAAATACAGCATGAGAGGGTGTGATGAATGGGACATGGAGTGCACATACTGGAATAACATCAGAGTTCTCCCGGTGTCTTTGCTTCTAAATTTGGAGCTGCTGGTTGGTACAGAGTGTCTTACTATTGCAGAAAGCTGATCTTGGGACAGCAACAGGGGGGAGGTACCTCTCTGTTAAATTGCTGGCTGAGGGGGGGTCTTCCCCATGTCTCCCTAAAGTGAACTTGTCTCAGCAGTCTGACACCCCTTGTCACATCACTCTAACGAGACAGGAACTGGTCAGGGCTGGGTTAGCTCCATGATGCAACAGGTGACTCTGAACACAGCAAACACATCTCAACAATCTGACAGCATTCCTATGAGAGACAACAAAGGCAGCCAAGAGAGACTGCAGCTGATCAGCCCCACCTGAGTTCTTCAGAATAACAAGAAAGAAAGTTTAACCACATCAAAACTGTATTACAGAATTAAACATAAAGCCAATCACAACGTTTGGCTTCATTACAGCTCCATTATCACTGGCCTTCATCCTCTCTTTCTTTTTACATCTCATTCAAGAAACAATCTTATGTTCTTCCTTTTACCATCATTAACATTTCCTTATCCTTATTATTTTTTATTCACAGGCCTACTGTAGGCCACCTACACATCTTATGGATATATATATATATATATATATATATATATATCATGTAAGCCTACATTCATATGCGATAGGAAGAATATAGCACAACAAAACAAGAAGGCATGTCACAGATAGTGAAGAGCATAGTGTGTTATCAAGAACAAGACTAGGGGTTTATCTTTTGAGACAGCAACAGAATATAAATATTATAAAAGATAATGAAGTCAGTGCTTGTCCACATAACGGATGGATTTATAAGGAACATGTTGAATACACATGAGGGGAGTAGTACTGCATGTGTCCTTTAGATGGAGACAGCAAACCAAAGGATTTCCTGAAGTAGACTGATATTATTTATATGGGAATTTATATTATCACTTAAAAAGACAAAAACAACCTTTTCACAAAAACAACCGTTTGCTTCAGTCTTTGTCAGTGAGTAGTTTGTATACATACAATTGTCATAATTAACGTATAATATATTATTCTGAAATGGTCCTATTTGCATAATAAGTACTTTTGGTATTAGTATATTTTGATGCTAACTTTTTTATTTTTTTACTTTAGTAACATTTTGATTGAAGGACTTTTACCTAACAGAGTATTCCTACACTCTGGTACTTCTTATTTTCCTTAAGAACAAGATCTGAATACTCCTTGCACCTCTGTATAATTAGTCCAACCTTTATAATAACAATAACTATGCACAAATTATTAAAAAAAGTAAAAGTACCTTGAAGAACTTAAACCTGAAATCTTCAGATAATTGTTGTTGTCAAACCAACGGTCCTTAACAAAAATATATTCAGCTTGCAATGATCAATAATGCCCTGTACAGTATTTCCTAAATTTTGCGCGCGCGCCCCCTAGAGCGCGCATCACCCAGGGAGCGCGCGCGGCGAAGGGGCGGGGCGCGCGGAGTCAGCGCAGCCAGGGATGAGAAACTTGTCCCGGATATTTACCTAACTATACCTGGCTCTTCCGACGCGCCCGACGTCTGTACAGCGGACAGTTTGAGGAATATAATCCGTCTCTGCAGCGGGAAAACTGAGGTATACACAACTTTGTTTGTCTTTTAAACATTATCTTCCAAAAAACTTCGTTCCAAGTTGTAGTTATTTACGAGGACCGCCGTGGTGGGAGGAAAGTTTGTTATAGAAGAGTTCCTCCTTCTGGGTGTAGCTGTAGAAAACTTCAGGTTGTCAACAGGTTTCTTGTCAGTGCTGTGGTTCAAAGTACAGCGAGGTCACAGCAGAGTTCATTATCGACAGTCTGACAACATAAATAAAGGCCTGTTTATTTTACGTCTGGGAAAGCAGGAGAGGCCATCAGCGCTTTATATCCTACTATGTGCACATTACATTTAGGCTTTGGCAGAAACTGTATGTTAACCGCGTTACAAAGCAAGATAATTAATGATTAATTCGTCTGTGGCTGTCATTTAGGCACAGACCTCAACATAACAGAAATAAATGCAAGATCCAAAACACCCAGTGAAGTCATATCCACATGCTGTTAAATTAACATTTACTTGTAAGTTCATTAGAGGCATGTCTCTGTGAGGGCTGATTGTGGCAAACAAGTCACCAAACTGGGACCTGCAGCCCTCTTTTAATATTCAGAATGTGTCACTGTGTTCAAACATTAACTCAAACACTGTGTGTCCTTTCAGAATCAGACTGAGACAGGCCGGCCTGGATCCATTAATCATTCACCTGGAAACCAAGACAGGACAAATGTACGTGCACACACTTGCATGTATATAGATGCGAACACAGACACATCTAGGTTTTCCCAAACGCGGGCAAGTTATTAACTTTGTGCATCCATTGTTGGTGCATGTATGTATGTGTCTGTTTGTGCTACTGTTGCTGCCAGCAGCTGATCTGGGATCAGTCATAGGGTAGATGGGCGTGTTCAACTCTGAAAATGTTTAACATTCTTATCATTCAGCTGCCTGCAAAAGGCGGAGAAAAGCTGAGGGAGAGCAGCAGGGAGAGGGAAGGGACATGTTCAGACCCAGGCCAAATAATTAGGAGTTACTAACACACACACACACACACACACACACACACACACACACACACACACACACACACACACACACACACACACACACACAGTCACTCCTTTGCATTCACGCTGCATTACTCACTGCAGCCTGATACTCCATCCAGCACACATATATTAGTCACCACACAATGTCATCGCGCTTTCTTAGGAAGACAACAGCCTGAAAGCATCTGACACTATTTTTTTGGGTGTGTGCGTGTGTGTGTGTGTGTGTGTGTGTGTGTGTGTTTGTGTCTGTGTGTTTCCAGGTCCCATCTCGGTGACGAGCATAGGGCAGGGTGTTTGTCTTGAGAGGGAGGGAGAGTTACCGTGGTAACACAGACATGCCAAAACTGGACCTGCTTTGCCTGGTTCAGCTGCTGGACGGCACTATCGAAACCTTCAGAGTCAGTGTGCGTAACACACACACACACACACACACACACACACACACACACACACACACACACACACACACACACACACACACAGACATACGCACACTCTCTCTCTCAAACACAGGCACACACACACAAACAGACACACACA